GCTAGTGAGGTAAAGGAATGAATATCTATCGATACCTGAAAAGAGCAATTTGGAGTTCATCTATCTGCCCTATTTATTTGGTGCCTTCCAAATAAGTGGAGTTTTCAATCTCAAATATTTATGGAGAAGCTTCCCACATAGTAGATAATAGTTAGCCAGCACCTGATTCTGGACTTGGCTGGCTCATTCTTATTCTGCCTTCTTTGTGCTGATTCCATTACTTTTTTTCTAATTAGAAATCCAAGGTTGAAAAAAGAGGCTTCAAGAACCAGTCCCTTTTGACAGGGTTGGTGTAGTTTCTCAGTGACAACCAAGCATGATGAGGGAGTGAGTCCCTGGGCCTTTGGGCTCAGGACCATGGTCTAAGGGGACGTCAGGCTCAATTGGCACAACATAATACATAAAAGTCTTGTTCTACATCCCACTTGGTGAGTAACAACTGGGGTCTTAAAAGCTCTCGAGTGGCCTTCTCAGGTGCAGCTATTAGTCTCCGCTCATCTGGAGCAAAGAAGAGTGAAGAAAATCAAAGTCATATGGAAACAATTAGTCCAAGGATATTGTGAACCATGGGGACCTCAGCATTCATGACCCTGAAACCAGAAGAACAGATGGTGCCTGGCTACCCATACCAACTACTTGGAAAGAGATAAAAAATGGAGATCCTGGATAGAGTGGGAGGAAAAATGTGGAACAAAATTCAAAAACACAAAAAAGACCAGAATTACTCATCAGATAGAGATTTGTGAAACCCTCAAGCCTATGGCCTCAGGTTATCCCAGACCTGGAACTAGACTCACTTCCTTGGTTGAACTCTCAGCCAAATAGTAGAAAGGCCTACAAGCAGAATACATACCCCAGGGAGATGCACCTACCTACCCTAGGGAGGGAGCTCTGGTAGCATAATGCCTAAGGCACTTGACTGCTAACCAGAATGCTGGCAGTTCAAACCCACCAGCCTCTCCTCAGAAGGAAGGTTGGGCAATCTACTTCCGTAGTGATACTGCCTTGGAAACCCAAGGAGGGGTCACTATGAGTCGAATCTGACTGAATGGCACATATCAACAACAACAGCAACCCTAGGGAGATGCACCCCTTAGATCAAACATGAGACATCAAAAGGGCAGCAGCTGCACAGAGGGAAAGCTGGACAGACAGGGCACAGGAAAGCTGTTGTCACAGGGAGGAGACGGGAGGAAAGCTTTTTATTGTTGGGATTGGAAAGGGGTGTGAAACCAAATGTGCATGAATTGTTGAGTAAAACAAAACTGCTTTGTAAATTTACACCCAAATCACACAAAATAAATCAGCCTCTTTTGTAATAAGAATCAGTAACTTTTGTAACTGTCTTAGTACAGAGGTATCTGTGGAAATGTATTCCAGAGTCATGAAGAAAAGTTAACATGTAGAAGCTTCCAGAAGTATCAAAGTGCTAGAGTTAAGAGTATCCTAATCTTGTGCTTTCTCTAAAGAATAATCACTTGATATACTTTAAAACTGATTTTTTTTTCTAGTGGTACCTGCTTCAAAATAATAATAATGCACCAAGCTTCTATTTCTTCACTCCATCTCACCTCCTTCCCTCTTGTTTCAAAACTAGCTATTATGAGCCAAGCACTATGCTAGAAACCATAGGGGTGGGGTGAGAGGAGGCAAACAAAAGAGGAAGGCAAAGTTCTTGTCCTCAAGGAGTTACTTGATCAGTGGAAGGAATGAGATAAATGCACACATAAGCCAACTGCAAGGCAGAATATGACAAGGGACACTAGAGGGATAGGAACAGAGTTCCATAAGAGTTCAAAGGAAAGAGAGATTTCCTGTGGGTGACAGAATCAGGAAGAGCTTCATGGAAGAGCCACACTTGAGATCAACCTTGATGGACAGATGAGTTTCTGCAGATGAAGAGCTGTAGGATGGTTTGAAGGCACAGGGGTCACAGCAGAAGGGGATGTTCCATTAGGGGCAGAGAATGTGTAGGGGAATAGGGAGACAACAGGTAAGAAAATTAGATTGGGATCGTAAAGTAGAGGGTTGTTGTTGTTGTTGTTGTTATATGCCGTCGAGTCGGCCCCAACTCATAGCGACCCCTCCTTGGGTTTCCGAGGCAGTATCACTATGGAAGTAGGATTGCCCAACCTTCCTTCCGAGGAGTGGCTGGTGGGTTTGAACCGCCAATCTTCTGGTTAGCAGTCAAGTGCCTTAGGCACTATGCTACCAGAGCTCCTTGAAGTAGAGGGTACGGTTCTTTATTTTAGAGGCACCCAAAAGGCTATTAAGCATATGCTGAAAAGTGAGCTCTAGCTGGACCTAGAGCTGACACGGGTTAGATTAGAGGGGATAGATACATAGACAGAAGGGGATATATAAAGGGGATTCTTATACTGCTTCAGGCCATAGATATTGGGTTTAGCTAGCTGTGAACGTACCATAAAGGAAAACGTGAAATATGATTCCAAGTTTTTGAACTCAAGAAATCAGAAGAGAGAACAGGGTGGTGAGGAAAGAGGCTTTCTTTTGGATGGTAGCCAACTGTTTAAGGAAATTAGTAAACCCACATCAATCCCTTCCTCACAAATACACAAAGAAGTTAAATTCAAACTAAGACATTTGGCCTGTACTCAGCAGTTTGGCAGGGAGTGGGGAAGAGGTGTGAATGACGGTAGAGGGTCATGAAGAAAGTGAGAAGGTTAAAGAGCTTCACCCATTGAGCCACCTACACACTACCTCACATGTCCATACCCTCAGGTTCTCTGGATACCAAGCGTTTTGGTTACTTTGTGGTGCTCTAACAGAAATACTAGAGGTGAATGGCTTGAACAAACAGAGGTTTATTCTCTTACAATTTTGGAAGCTAGAAGTTTGAGGTCAAAGCGTCAGCTCTAAGGGCTGGTGAAAGCTCCTTAACCTTGGGCTTTAGCTCTGCCTCTTGCTCCAGGCCCACTAGAGCTGGAGGCATCTCTTCACTCAGGTAGCTGCTGACTGCTGAGGCTGACAAACCTAAGGTCAAAGAGTACAATGGCACAGTCCCCAAATTATCAAACCAGATGGCAGGCCACTACTTCAAGTCCATTGACTTCATGTCCATCAAGAACTGCAGACAACATGGCAGGCTGCTGAACGACAACTTGGCTACATGCAGGGTCCAAGCGTGTCAAAAGCTGCAGAGAACTTTCTCAACACTTCTCCTTACTGGAAGCAGACTACATCCCTAAGGCAGCTACTCAGCTGCTCCAACAGATTCCACCATGGAGATGATTACCAATCTCATCATGAGGAATAACTATATCCAGCTGCCCATCCACTGAAAACCAGGCCCAGCCAAGTTGACACATAACCTTAACTACCACACCAGACAAGGGCAGATACTAGATCAAAATATTTTTAAAGTACCTGTGGAATTCAGAAGGAGCTCTAGTGGCATAATGATGAAGGCATAAGGCTGCTTACAAAAAGGACAGTGGTTCAAACTCACAAGCTGCTCTGTGGGAGAAAGATGAGACCGTTTGTAGAGATTTACAGCCTTGGAAACCCTATGGGGCAGTTCTACTCTGTCTTATAGGATCATTATAAGTTGGAATCAACTCCATGGCAGTGAGATTTTTTTTTTTATTTTTATTTTTTGGTTTTCTGGAATGTAGAATAAAAACAAAAAGGAAGGAAAGGCCTAGTCCTGAAGTGTAGTGGGTGCTTTAAGGATTGGACAATACATAGGTGGCCAGGAGAGCAAGGCTATAGCTGTTACCATCAATCCTGGGAGACTACAAGCACTAGGGCCAGACTGAGGGAAGATTAAAAAAAAAAAAAAAAGGGAGTGTGTGGGTACTTCTGTGCACACCGCCAAGTTCTTGCCTTTATGCCTCTTTTTCCCCTTTCATGAAATTAGAGGGTAGGGAAAACAGGCATCATATCCTAAATCCATTTAGAATATTGCATCAGTGACTTAAAGTAGCTGGTTTAACTAACACTACACTTGGCACAGAATCCTGTGGGATTGGCAAAACCTAGAACAAAGGTGGAGGGAAGAGCATTATGGGCCCTGGAGCTAGGCTTACACCATTCTCTGCTTCTTACCAGGTAAGACTGGAGAGTATGGCTGGCAATTTAGGGATGACAGTGTGAGGTCCCCAAGCCACTGTTAATTTCTGCAATAGGCAATTCCCTTCACTTGGAGCCTTCCAAAAGGCCCACAATTCTAAGAAATGCAACAATATCTCTGAGAGCAAAGCTGGGAACTAAGTATAGACAACGGTGTGAGAACAGGGACTTTGAGCGGCACATGGAGCAGCTGCCTCTGCTTCCTGATGACCTCTATCCTTCATATGTATCTCAGCCATCAGTGTTTTGGAAACAGCTTCAAAATTCCAGACCCAACCAGTCTAACCTCTTTTACAACAAACAAAGCCATTTTTCTTTCTACTCTAAGGAAATCTCTGAATCAATAGAAATTCAACCATTACTAAATTACAATCAGTCACGCAGGCTGGAGCGAGCTACTGTGATTGTTACTTCTTAGAAATATTTCTGATGATTGGAGATTAGGGTTGAAGATGATCAAAGCTCACAGCTTTTTTTTTTTTTTTTTCTCTCTCTCTCTCTCTTTCCCTTTGTGTCCCTCCTTACACACACCACATTTCAGAAATGACATCAAACTGCCAAGTCTTCTGAATTCTTTAGTATTGACTGAGAATGGCTTTCAAACAGCTCATCATGACAATTACACAAAGTCTGCAAATCTGATATTCACACTACTCCCTGGACCTGGGGACGTGAAGGACACTGGCATTTGCAAACACAGCAGGTGTCAGAGGTTTGGGATCCTGGGATTCTATAGCTGAGAAGGACTGTCTGAGCAATTAACCTTCTTGTCTAAGGCTGTCCTTGCCAATTTCTGACTAGAATTCTAGTGAGTTTTTCCTATGACATGCCATCTGCCTATCTTCTACTGGTTCTGTGATGCTTCTCAAAGCTTGACCTGTGCAGTGCTTCTGGGTGGTGTGACTTACCACTGGTGAGTTGCTGGGAGGAGGCGAGCAGGGGTGAGGGCAGCTTCCTGCAGGACTCTTTTAACTTGCAAGACCCGCTTAACTGGAGTCAACAGTCGCTGCATTTCCAGAGGAGCAAGCAGAATTCCCGCAGTTTAGAGCCCTTGGGAGAGATGTCCAGCACAACTCTATCCTGCTTTATAGAGCTGGGAGGCTCTTGTGCTGAGAAGCCCTGCCCATGCTTATCTAGGCTCCATTGGCTTCTAGAACTGGGCTAAAGGTCTTACTCAGTACATGGGCGAGTCAAAGGAAAACATTATCTCACCAACATGGACACGGTTGCCCTGCTCCTACGAGTGTGTGGAAGAGGGGAGCTCTGGTTCTTTCTTTCTTAGCTCTTTGGCAGCTTTATTTCTGCCCAGTCATCTTAGAGATTGTGATGTTACTTGAACACATTCCAAGGTAGCCCACCTGACCTGTCTCAGCCCCTGGCTCCTCAGGCTCTTCCCTGACATCTCAGAGTTACTTTCATTTGGTGGTCGAGAATTTTTGCCATGGTGTCAGCTGTTATTACTTTAATGTATTAAGCATATTAAGAAAAATCTATCCAAACTAAAGGGAATGAATCTTTTAACAGTAACTCTTGTAGTAGTTGGGAGTGAGTATTGGCATATAGGCAAGGGAGTAGGTATCAGAGAGGATGTGGAGCTTGCTATACTTCTCCTATGCTCATTGTCAACCCTTGTGTTGCACAGCTCTACACAATTCCCATAATGAAAAAGAAATTGAAGTTGTCAATGCTTTCATTCTACTTGGATCTATAAGCAGTGTCCATGGAAGCAGCAGTCAATAAGTCAAACTATGTATAGCAAAAGATTTCTAAAGTTTTTACAAAGCAAAGCTGTAGCTTTGATGACTAAGGTGTGCCTGATCTAATTCATGGTCTTTTCAATTGCATCATGGACAAGCAAAAGCTGTTCAGTGAAAAAGGAGGACAGAAGAAGAAGAAGAATTAATGCATTCATACTGTGGTGGTGATGATGAATATTGAATATACCATGGACTGCCAGAAGAACAAGCAAATTAGTCTCAGAAGAAATACAAACAGAATGCTCCTTAGAATTGAGGATGGTGAGACTTTGACTCTCTTACTTTGGACATGTCATTAGGAAAGACCAATCGCTAGAAAAGGACATCATGTTTGGTGAAGTGTCAGTGAAAATGAGGGAAATCCTCAGTGAGATGGGTTGAAACGCTAGCCACAACAATGGAGCCAAACATGCTGTCTTGGTTCTCTAGCACTGCTGTAACAGAAATGTCTAAGTGGGTGGCTTTTACAAAGAGGAATTTATTCTCCTACAGTTTAGGAGGCTAGAAGTCTGAATTCAGAGTGCTGGCTCTATGGGCTAGATGAAGGCCTCTTGACCTTGGGCTTCAGCTCTGCCTCTTGTTCCAGGTCCACTGGAGCTGGAGGCCTCTTCTAACTCATACAGCTGCTGGCTGCTGAGGCTGATGACCTAAGGTCAGCAGGTAAAATGGCACAATCTCAAGATAAGCAGACAACATGGTAGGTCACTTGTTCAAGTCCAGGAACAACACCAAGATTGGCAGGCAACACAGCAGGTTACTTGTTCCTGTCCAGGAACTGAAGACTCAGCCAAACACAGGATCCAAATGTACCAAAAAGCTAGAGACATTTCCCAAAGCTTCTCCATATATGCTAGAAGCAAACCACATCCTGAAGGCAATTCCACTTCAACAGAGTAGGTGCTCAAAGCAGATTCCACCATGTAGGTGATTAAAATCTCATCATAGAGAATAATTACATCCAGCAGCCAAGCTACTCAAAACCATGGCCCATCCAAGCTGGCATACAACCTTAACTACCACACACACCGTGGATCATGAAGATGGCACAGGACTGGGCAAGGTTGTATTTTGTTACACATAAGGTTGCCATGAGTTGGAGCTGACTCAAAGGCAACTAACAACAACAACAACAGTTTCCAAGTGGGATGCAATAAGTGCTGCCATAGAGGTACAAAATCCTAAAGGTAACTGCCATTTGTAACTAAACTGTCATTTGTCATTTTTCCCAAGGAGGAAAAATTAGAGGTGAGTCCAGTGATATGTAGATAGGTGATATGACTTTTCCAAAGGCTTACAGCTTTACTAGATTAGGGCAGATTGGGAACTCATCCTTGTCTTTTGACTTCAGAACCTGATTTTTCCACTTTGCTCCCCTACTTCTCAATTTAAAAATGTTCCTGCCATCTGACCTCCCAAGTAAAAATCTCCCTCCACGCATCTCTCATGACACTGATCTTCCACCATGTAGGTGATTAAAATCTTTGACGAGGGTCATGTATTCATTCATTAGCTCATCCAGTTAAACTCCTGTCTGATGAGGCTTGTGGAGGACATTGAGGAGAGTCAGAGTGGTTCTTGCTTTAGGGGTGACAAAGATGACTTCATTTTCCTGAAGTGGAGAGCCTGTAAGTAACTCCAAAAGCACAAGTGTCCTAGGTCTTCCATCATCTTAAACTCTTAACTTCATACTTCTCAGTGCATTCCTGTTCTAACCTAGTTTCTCAACTCTCTCTCTCTGGTACCAGATGATCTTTCACTGAATGTTTCACAAAGTTGTACTATCAGTTTAAAATTCTTCATTTTCAAGTTCTTCTTTTTAACTGCCTTTTCTTCTTCCTGTATCTCAAACTAGTTTTGCCCTAGAGCTCTCTCAAATGTTGGCTGCAACCCTTGCCTTCCCTCCACAGCCTTCAAGCCACCAACACCCCATGTTCCTCAGGGCTTGGAATAAGGTATATATCCTCTTTGTTTTTTATTGTTACTTGCAGAGTATTTTTCTTCTCTTTCCCCTGAAAACTTCCCATTCTCTTAAAGTAAAAGTCATCAGTTAATATCACCCCCTGCTTTTTTGTTGTTGCATTCAACTAAAAATTTTGCTCTACTTCCCTAATTCACAAAGATTAAGTACACAGACCATTGTCTTCCCCTCCACTATTTTCTCCACATTCTTGGAGATATCAATCTTTGCATATGTTATTCATCCACTTTGGCTACTCAGGTTCCTCATTTCCAATATTTTTGTCTTCCATTTGACTTCAACCTTCACTACATGATCACACCATAAAACAAACAAACAAACAAACAAACAAAAAACAAACCCACTGCCATCGAGTTGATTCTGACTCATAGTGACCCCCACTGGGTTTCCAAGGTGGTAAATCTTTACAGAAGTAGATTGTCCAGTCTTCCTTCCATGGAGGAAGGTGGTTTAAACCACCAGCCTTCTGGTAAGCAGTCAAATGCCTTAGGCACTACACCACCAGAGCTCCTTTGGTTAGACCCTAGACTTTGTTATCACAGTACCTTCAACACCTCCCAAATGTTCACTTCATGCAGCCCAATTTCCAACTCCTTCTTTCTTCCCTTCTCACTTTTAAAATACCCTCACTATCCCCTTCCATTGGGACCACAAATGACTGTAGCATTTTCATTGTTTATCATAGGTCATGACTTCCTTTCTCTCCTTACCCAGCTCACATTATCTATAGTGTATCACCATAAAACATCCCATGCATGTTGTTGTTGTTGTTGTTAGGTGCCTTCAAGTCATTTCCGACTCGTAGCAAACCTATGCACAGCAGAACGAAACACCGCCCGATCCCATGCCAGCTCCACGATCCTTGCTGTACT